CTCTCGACTCAGGTTGGGGAAAGCCCCGTGAGCTTCTCGCTGGAGAGGGAACATGGAACACGCTATTTGTTGTTTGTTTATATCACGCAGTCTCTTCTTCCTCTCTCGGTGTATCACGCAGTCTGTCTTCCGGTTGTTGTCTCTTTTGAATGACGAATACACACTACCGCCCCCTGCTGGTAAGGAGAGTTATTGCCACTCACGCATGCTTAGTGCGTACGTGCTACTTGGCCGTCGGCTGAAGTCTTTGCGGTGTGTTCCAGTGTGACTGTTGGCCAAGACGCAGAAGACGTGAGGCGACACAACAGTCGGGTCCGTCGGGACGTGTTCTTTGGTGTCAGTTTGGTGTGTCAGGGCCTTTAGATCTATCTTATCTTAAAACAAGCTGGTTTGTAGCTTAAATTTTTCAAATTTAACATATATTTAGATTAAAAAAACTTTTTTCTGAAAAGTTTTCTCACCTTGAACTCATCCAGGTTGGCGGGCAGACTTCCTGGTTTGGCTCCGCCCGCTGCTGATTGGCTCAGACGGGAAGCCACGCTCTGATTGGATGTGGTGGTGGTCGTTGTGGAAACGCTGCGAGAGGGGGAGGGGCCAGAGTTGGTTGATGGAGGCTGCTCAGTGGGTGGCCTGATTGAGGAAACAGGAAAATATAAATATTAGTATTCCTGAGTTAAGACAGCAGGGGATGTTGATGTCATGGTAGTAAATACAATATAGTAAACATCAAAACAAAGTTACAGAGAGCTTTATTTCTCTCCCCAAACACATCCATTGTTTCATTTGAAAAGCATATTCCTAAAGTCCCACATTGTTTTCCCCAAAGCACAGAGGCTTATCTGGGATGAAGAGGACTTCTGCTTTAAGCTCCCGGCTCTACAGAATGACTGAAGAACCACTAATGTGGAAGAAACAAACCACAGCAGAGAGTCAGGAGCAGACAGGAAGTCATAAAGAAACCGCCTGCAGGCTGTGCTGCACAAATTCACTATCAGTAGAATAACTACGGGTTTAATATGAGGAAGAGAAAGGACTCCTGGGTGGCGGCCAAGTGGTTTTTGTTTTGCTTAGGAAGGTTCCTAATGGAGGGAAATGTCCCAAAAGTAGCCGCCATGATACGAGCTTTTTGAATTCTCTACATGATAGGAAAGGACTTGTAATGCTTTGTTTGTTATCTCCGTAAACACAGGATACACTGGAGTATGCATGCTGACCCACAATTCATTGCAGCTACAACATTTAAAGTGACGCACAATTATCTATTCACGGAAACAACAGATCATGACCGACACAAGCAGATTAATTGTTCTTGATATGCCATTTTTTGCCGAAATTCTTATATGTTTTGAACTTTCAACCATATGTTAGACCAAAAAAGTGTGTTTACTGAGTTGGGTGATGTTTAAGAAGCCTATTTTTCTTGAATTCAACATGTTTGATTGGTGATATGCATAGTAGTCGGCGTGTAGGCCTCGCAAGTTATGCATATATTGCATAAAATATTATTGATTTAAAGGGTTTCATTCAATTATACTACTAATAGGGATTAATGCGGATTCACACGAGTGGACAGGAGGCTAAGGGAGAGCACTAGCAACCACTTTTCTGGTAATACATGTATCACTTTTGTCCCCTTGCATAAAGCCAAACAACACCATATGAACATATCTAGGTGCTTTGAGTAGTCCATATATATAGAAAATGTTTTCCCACAGCAGACATACATCAATAACCTTCACATCATAAATACACTTCTCTGTGTAAGTCCTGATGAATTACCTAACCCAATTACGTTTCTCCCTGAGGTTAAGGAAAAGTATCTTTTGACCGCAGCCTTTGAATGAAACCCCTGCGCTCGGCCCCCTTTACTTGCTCATAGTGGAGCCGAACACTCACTTGGGTGGAGCGGGCAGGATGGTGTGGTAGTTGTAGTGCTGCTGCTGCTGGTTGAGGATCTGCAGCTGCAGGAAGAGCTGCTGCTGGTGGAGCAGCTTGGCGTAGGACGAGTCCATCTGGGGGGGGCGCTCTTTGTCTGCCTTCTGGTCTGGAGGGATGTACTGGTGGTACTTCAGCTTCTTCACCTGCACACGAGACAGAAAGCAGTTTAGAGAGTGTAGTGTTTTTCAATATTGTGACATCATTTTTGATGTGGTAATACATATGGCATACATTTTGGCAATTTCACAATTTTTTTAATTAGTATTCCAATGAAAGATGCTTTTATTATTACTTTTCTGTACATTTTGGCTGCTTTTTTTTCCAGCAAAGCATACATTTGGTGAGTTTTTCTCTATGTGTCTATTTGAAATGATGTACCTTTAAAAATACAAACATTTCCCATTGAAACCCATTCAAATCACAACACATTAGATCAGGGTTTCAGTCTATTTTTTACTACTTTCCACGAGATTGAGGTATTTTTCTCTGTCTTATATTTTTTTTGTTAATGTTGTTGCTAACCATGGACATATGCCAGACTGCGTAAATAAATACCATCATGCCTTAAAAATATAGAAACACATTTTTGCATGTGTTTTTTTCCTTATAAAATAAACACAATGGCATTCGTTTTTTACAAAATGACATTTAAAGGGTAACAAAAGTGAAGACATGTCAGATATGTCGTTGTGATCAGCTTTAATGTTGGATAAGAGATTTAACTCAATGAAAGTGGATATACCAGGGGTCGGCACCGTAACCAGTGGCACGCTAGGAATAAGTGGAATAAGTGTGCAAAATATATAAATTGTATTTTCGGATCCTGAACCAGACCGCCGCCAGAGCGCGTCTCCCCGTTACCTGCAGAAGGAAGCCATGCACGCAACGTGATCGTCGGCACACTGATCACATTTTTTATTTTAAATGGCACTTCATATTACATTACAACTTACATACTCAATACTGTGGGCAATCCCCACAGGAGCAATTTGGGGTGAAGTGTCTCAGGGACACAACGACATGCTGACTGCAGTGGGGTTTGAACCTGTGCCCCCCTGATCCCAACACCTACGCACTACTCCACTGCGCCACACGCCTCCTCATATCAAAAAGGTTGCCGACCCCTGAGATATACTTTTGACGATCAACATTTTAAAGTTGTTGTTTTTCTCTATTGCCATTAAAACCACATGTTTAAAGTGGAGGCGCAACACAAGGGTTCAAATATCCTCTTGCTTGACATCACTTACTGATTCCTGGACAGAAACAGGATGTGCTTTCAGGTCATGTAGGTCAAAGGTCAACAGAAGTAACAAAACTAGGGTCACAGGGCAAGTGTTTCCAATTCAGAGAAAGACATTGTTTATTCTTCTGTATTTAGGATGCGGAACATGGAACCCCTTCCTCTTTTAACGAGGCATTTCTGGATTGTGTGAATGTTAAATGTGAAAATGTTTCTCTAGTTCTGAGAAAACTGACACCAAACCCCCAGAGAGAGAAACTGGAAGAACTTCAGCTCTCTGGTAGTTCCTCAAAGATCAGGTACTCTTATACAATGTGCGCTTGCTTTGACAGAAACAGAGAGTCAGCTGACCTTGGGTTTGCTGTCCTTTGGTTTCTTGGGTCTCTGAGGAGGACGGTCTGAACTCGACTTATTCTGAGACTGGAGACAGAAAGCGTGAGAATCGGGGTCAGGAGGAGGAAGTGAGGAGATGAAGAGTAACACGCTTACAGCTGCTTCAGAAATAGAGATTAGGGTTATTTAGAAGTCATCAAATCTGTATATATCATATTCTTGGGTGATTGATCAGAATCAGAATACTTTATTTATGGGGAAATTGGGCTTATTGAAATAAATTAAAAAACATTTTTATATATAATATAGAGTAAATATTTGTATATAAAAAAATAAGAAATTGAAGTAAAAATACGCAAAAAAACATCAAATAAAAAAAGTATTTAAACAAACATTAGAAGTTAAAGTCAAATGTTTAAATAAAATATAATTGAAAAAAATATATATGTAGAAATAACAGGTTCGAGTAAAAAGGTGCAATAAAGAAATAAACTAAAAAAATATATACATATAAAAATTGAAGGTAAAATTCACAACAAAAGTTCAAATAAAGTAGAATTAAAAAAAAGCATATATACATAAGAAGTTAAATTAAAAACGTTCACATTGTACCACAAAGTATAAAATGTTAATTACAATATATAATGATATAAAAACCAGTTACACGTACCTTGATATGTCCAGTAAGGCGTGTGTTCGTTAAAGTCACCATCGTCCCATTGGTGACTTTTGTGAAAGGGGAGGAGTCTGACCCGTTCACCTGAAGAGGAGGAGGAGGAGGTGGAGGAGGAGGAAGAGGAAGAGGAGGAGGAGGAGGGGACTGTGTGATGAACTGAAAAAAAGATAACACTAGTTAGTGGTGCCATCAAGTTTATAATCACATGATTTATTCCATTCATTTCTTTCAAATTCAACTAAAATATGTCTTTTTGTTGAAATAATGACCCTTTTTTTTTTAATTCTCTTTAGTCTAAGCAGAAATCAACCCCAATATTTTGTATATGACATTTTTTATAAAAATGCACTAAGTTGTGTGAGCTTTAGAACAAAATCTATAACTTACAAGGACGATTAAAAAAAGCTTCTAAATTGGCCTAAAACATTTTGTGAATGCCCTGATTTTGTAAGCAGTGCCCTAAAAGTTGCCCTATAAATATGTTTTTTTTCCCCACAATGCATCCTGTGTTAGTACCTGTGTGGGGGACACGTCTCCGCTGTTGCTGAGCAGATCAGAGGGAGACAGCTGCGGGA